TCATTTGATGTTCAGATTCGACAAGTGCGGGTGCCATAATGCTTGCAAAGGGTGTACACAGTGTGACGAGGGAAAACGCCTGTTGTGCTTGCTGAGTAGCCCCTTGTCATGATCATATTGTCTGACTTCACGTTATCACCATTCGTAGTGTTATCTCAGTGTCATCTAATTGCTTCCCCCACAACAACAATCCCCCTAAATTGCCACTTTTGGTGGCCTCGGATTGTTGTGGGGTATTGGGGGAAATGTACTCGTGTGACTTCTGCCATACTTCGACCCAAGTTGGGTCTCTGGTGCCAATTTTTGATGGACTTAATACCCGACATGAGCGGCTATTTGTCGTCATTTGGAGATGCGTTTACGGTACCGCTCCAATGCCACTTCTTCTGCTGTGGTATACTATTACTACTATTACTACTACCATAAGAGAGTTCGATGTGCACTTTTACTGGGAGCTATGTACCACACAGCGTATGTAAGCACCCAGTAGCTTATCTTCAACCATTGCTATCATGGATCTCCGTAACGGTGATTCTCATGCCATACATGCCTTCCTTATTAACCAGTCGGCATTAGACCGGGGAGTAGTTTTCCAGTCGATACCACATTTGTCCCTTTTGGCCCTCTTAGTATTCTTCGTTCGACTGTGACTCCTCCTGAGGTCCTCTTATTCTAGCCTTGCGCTCTTCACTGTATCTCTTTCATTTCCAACTGAAAGAAGGAGGATTGCGACTCTCTGATGGGGAGTTCTGGTAATGGTCCCCTCAACTTCACGGCAATGCCCTGTAATCTGGTCAAGGCTGACACGCTCGACCAGTGTACATTGTCGAATGTTTTGCATACTGCATAAGAAGGCGGTATCAATAGAGACGTATAATGATACCCTCTAGTTGCGTTAGTTCGCGTTGGAGTGGTATTGTCTATTTGAATGGAGTGTGGAGGGGCAGTTTGAACCTGCCTTGAACTATTCATCGAATTTGTCGGCGAGAATGTTATGTCCTCCCCGATGGGGGGGGGGGTCAAAACTAAGA